TTCAAAGCAGGGGTGGGATGCTTCTGGTTCTGCCCGGCTCTATAGAACTGGTAGCTCCAAAGAGCAGACACTGAACCAGTTCTGTGTTTGCTGCTGTTTGGCCCACCCGCCTGCCCGGGCTCTTACCTGTCCTTTATTACCTGCTTTTTCAACCTCAGCTGCTTTGCGCAGCAGAGCCGAGCTTGAAAAAGCAGTAAAAAAGTGCCTTTTCAAATGCTGCGCACCTGCTCACAGCGTTTTTCAGCTGTCCAGACAGCACAGCTAAAGGTTTTTTTTACACACGTGCGAAGTGCACATGCACACGCAAAATGTAGTCACAGAACCAATAGTAACACCGGTTGAATCCCACCACTGCTTCAAAGGCTGTGCTGATGAATTCCAGACATGGATTGCTAGCTTGTTGTTGGGTTTTTTGTTTTTTGTTTGCCCTCTAGCATGTCTTTTATTCAACATATGAGTTCAGCCAGATGCTAAAGTGCCGAGCTGCCACGAGAGCAGCTCTACTCATTGCAGAATACCTTATGCCACCAGACTTGAAACTGTAGACCTAGAAAACCTAGAACTACGCCGCCTCCGGTCCGATCTAAGTATAGTATATAAAATCATACATTGCAATGTCCTACTTGCAAATGAATACTTCAGCTTCAATCATACCAATACAAGAGCAAACAATAGATACAAACTCAAGGTTAACCGCACCAAACTTGATTGGCATCTGCCCACTATGTAAAATGAGGGGAGATTCCCCATAGATGATTCTCAGAGCAAAAATGGAATTTTAATGCAGTAAATTAATTAGTTGCCTATCTTCCTAGAAGTTTGGACTCTTCAGTGAGCTTTAATGATTAGGAAGACTCTTCACTTAACAGTGTTTACAATAATTGCTGCTATTATTTTAGAGTTGTTCAAAGATTTCTAATTGGCAATTAATAAATCTGTTAAATCCTCACTTGCAAAACTTTGCTACTATTTTATGTGTGGCTACTTGCTTTTCCTTCCCAAGATCTTACATGATACCAAGGAGCTCCAAAAGGAGATTAATAGCCTTGCTGGGAAGCTGGACCGGACTTTTGCTGTCACTGATGAGCTGGTTTTTAAGGTAATGGCTGGGGGTTGGAAGAGGGTAGAGCGCTGAAGGGGCACTTTGAAGAAGTTAATTTCTTCCCCTTGTCTCTTTCCACAGGACGCCAAGCGGGATGAGGCTGTGAGGAAGGCGTATAAGTATTTGGCAGCTTTGCATGAGGTGAGAGGTTTCCTGTCACAATAATATGCAGTAGATGTTTGTGAGTATGTGTGTGAGAGAAATAGATGATTTTTATGCTGCCTTTTAAAGGGAAATAATCGAAAGCCCAAAACAATACAAGGCTGACTTTAGAACAGGAGTCTCCAACCTTGGCAACTTTAAGACTTTTGGACTTCAACTCCCAGAATTCCTCAGCCAGCTTTGCTGGCTGAGGAATTCTGGGAGTTGAAGTCCACAAGTCTTAAAGTTGCCAAGGTTGGAGACCCCTGCTTTAGAATATTAGAACTACAATGGAAACATTAGAAGGAAAGAAGATGAAGCCAGGGGTGGGATTCAAACATCCCAGCAACCGGTTCACTGCCCGGTTGCTGGGTGAGTGTGGACATGGTGGGTGTAGCCTACTGGAACCTCTGAGAGGGCCGTTTTTTGCCTTCCCAAGGGTTCCCCCAGGCCTCTGAGGGGGGGGGGGGCAAAAACAGCCTCCCCCAGTCTTTGGAGGCCCACCGGAAGCCGGAAACAGGCCTGTTTCCAGACTTCTGGGAGGGCTGTTTTTTGCCTTCCCAAGGGTCCGGAGGCCTCCGAGCCTCTGGGAGGGCAAAAATGGACTTCCGGAAGGCCTGTTTTTCCCCTTCCCAGAGCCTCCGTACAGACCCTGCACTTACCTGCATCACATGGAGACTCCTGGGAGAGGAGGGGAGGGGCCAGCCAGTCAGTTGAAATACCGGTTCGGCAAACCAGATGAAAACTTAACACCCGGTTCACCTGAACCCGTCCGAACCGGTAGAATCCCACCCCTGGATGAATCTCAATGTCTTTTGACATTGAGCCTGGAGAAGAGAAATTCCTGCAAGAGAGCAACAACTTTTTTTTTGTTAAGGGCTACATTTCGTAGAGATAGGGCATAATCTATTGGGAGGCACAAAGGGGGAACAATGTGCATAATGAATAGAAGGTACCTTTCTACTCTGATACCCTTCTTTTTCTTTTCCCTGCACTCCTTTTTTTTCCCTTCCCTGTAATCTTTCAAACTCCCTCTTCAGTTTTCCTCCAGGAGGCTGCTAGGGAAGGGTCTGATATCTTTTAGAGATGGCTTGCTTGTAAAAGGCACTTGAAAATAAGCCAAGAGCCACAGGTTGCCATGCCCATGCCATTCCTCCAGGAAAGTCCTGCTATTATTTGAAGACAATGCAGAAGAGGTGTCTTGGCTACAGACCGTACAAGTGAGCTTGATCTTCCCATCTGGGAGGGTTGATATATTGGAATTTGTATACTGAGTACCGCTTAGCATCCTAGTGGGGATGTTTTGCATCAATCATATTTCTGGACAGTTTGACAGATAGGCCTACGAAACACAACATAATCATGGTATGAGGGCAGATATGTGATGTGGGTATATAATCTTATTAGGGTACTTCACATAAGTGCCCTTGTAAATGTAACCCTACCTTTGTTAAGAGTTAACTTTTTATATACCCAAGACGGTCCACACTGCATTATATCTACTTGGGACCCTTCCCAGTTGAAGCTGCCGTTTCTGCCTCTCTCTTAGAATTGCAGTCAACTGATCCAGACTATTGAGGACACAGGTACTATCTTGCGAGAAATTCGGGATCTTGAGGAGCAGGTGAGTCTGACTTGAAATATAGGTGGCAGAAGAAACTATTATGGCTTTCACACAGTTATCACTATTTGAATGTATTTGAAATGTGTAAGTTTCTGTCCATTGCCAGCTGTTCAATTCATTCCTTGAAATTGAATAGCTCTTGAACAGTTGCTCTTCTGTGTAGAGATACCTGCCCCTCTGCCTTTCTGATAGCTTTCTCATGATGCTCTATCCCTCCTTCCTCATTGTTTTGTGAGAGAATATGTGTGAAAGCCTCTCTAAACTCTGTATAAAATATGATGGAGTTCGCTAATAATTTGTGTTGCTTTCTGATTCTGCAGTCCCCTAATATATTCAGCTGAAATTGGGAATAATGTTCAATATCCTTGGTTATTTTTAATGAAAAGCCCAGTCTCTTATTAATAGAGGCAGCTATTCAAAAGCCCTCTAATCAGAAGTACAATCTCAACTGCCTACTCAGTTTCCCTTTTCTGTCCATTAAGCAGGAATAAGATTATGACCCTAGGAATCTGGTCATGTATCTTGTAGTGTACCGGTATATTGTCTGCTTCTTGAGTAATAAAGATTCCTGTGCAGTGTTATGCAACAAAGCCTATTAATTTGTTTATGTTTGTCTAGGGTAGATAGTCTCAGACATTTTTTGGTGCATGGCATTCTTAGCAGTTCTATATTGGGTGCTGCAGTGTCCCAGGGCACCACAGCAAATTCATTAATAGATTCATTTATTTAGTAGTAAAACATCTCACGGTGCCCTGTGAGTTTGCTTTGTGGCCTGGTGATGCCATGGGGCACAGTTTGGGAACCTCAAATGTAAGGTTTTGGTGTGGGTTCTTAACATAACCTGATTTAGCCACCACCCCCCTCCCAATAAAAAACCAACCCTAGGAATAAAAGTGAAATCATTTTTTTTAATAATTTTGTTAACTCTTGATTAGAAAAGTAGAAGTAGAGTAAGCATTATTCTTTTTCCTGATAAGCAATTTTAGATGCATAATTAGTCTGGCAGTATCAAAGCAGACCTTCCAAGACAGGCATGGGCAAATCACAGTATCCCCTTAAAAAAAACAACTCCCGCCACGCCCCCCCATCCCCCATCTCCCAAATTCAAACCACTGAATTTTGATGGCAAACTACCAAAAGGTTTTTATGCTGGTGTCAAAGTTATATTGAAAAGCTATGGAAATCACCTTTGGGCTATAAGACCACCAAAACCTACAACACCCTCCTCAATAGTTTGGAAATGCTGGTGCACTGCCGTTGGATATTTAATCATTCTGTGATGGAAGCACTTGATAGTGGAAGATAATCATGCCATAAAAATAAAGTTTAAATGAAGTTCCCCCATCAACTAAAAGGTTTCCCACCTCCTGTTGGAAAATGGTTCAAAATCTTCTCCAGATATCCCTGTCTCTTTTACAGTTAAAGCTGTAATAATTAAGGATAAAAGTATAATTTTAGAAAAGGTGTGTGCTAGGGTGAAAGTGATAATTTGCGAACCGAATGCCATTATTTTCAGTTTCTTTTTTCCTATTTGATGGATTAATTCAGCATGATGGATTGCAGAATGTGCAGGCATGCCTCCTGTCTAAAATAATGGCCCCCATTTATTTGTTTCCCCTTTCCAGATTGAGAGTGAAACCAGCAAGAAAACCCTGAGCAACTTGGAGAGGATCCTTGGAGATTATCGGGCCATAAAGCAGGAAAATATATCACTGCTCAGCCGTTCCCGAGAGACATGAAGATCCCGTCTTGATACACAGTTCTAGATGGTTCAAGGGCCCAACCAAGCACGTTTCGTTAAGACTCTACTGTGCCTCTAGCCAGAAAAAGTGGGGAGAGTGAGCAGGGCTCATTCTTCCAGACTCTGCCTAGATTGCAGAAACCAGTCAAAGTGCAGCACATTTCGGGCACAATGTGAAGCCTTTGTGTCTATACTGGAGAAACAGATATGCAATGGGGACATTCCTTCCTCCCTTTATTATTTCAAACAAGGCCCTTGTACCTTTTCTCCTAAAAACACAATAAAATTCCCTTTTCCCCTTTTCTCTATTCAGAATACTAGGACTGCTGCTATGAATTAACAGAACACTGCAGCGTGGGGCCAGTTTAGGCTGCCTCTGCTTCAAAATGTTCTGCCTCCAAATTTGTTGCTTCTGCATCCATAGCTTGGAAACAGGATCTTAAACACTGATGTCTTTGTGTATGATGGGGGAGAGTCAGCTCAGCTCACAGGGGTTCCTGGGAAACCAGAAAAGTGGGGAGGTGTGTTCTTGGCTGGCCAGTGGGTTCCAGTGGTGCAACAGAACCACCGACTCCTTAGTTTGACAGAACTGGGTATGGATAAGTAGCACAACGCTGGCTTCTTTTCTTCTGGTACTCAAGTTCATCCACTGTCCAAACAGCTCCCTTGATGTTCTCGACTCGCACAAAGCATTTGTGCAAGCTCAGGTTGTGTCGAATAGCATTCTGTGGATTGAAGAAAGGCAGTGATGGTTAAACTTGCATTCTTCGTAGCCAGAGTCTTCATTCAGGTTGCCTTCCAAAATCTCTCACCTTTCTCATGCTTTCAACAGGCAGATATACCAATGCTCTTTTTACAGTCTGGTCTTAATGCTCCTTTATTTGCTCTTCAGCCCCTTAACTATGGTCTGTTCTGAAGTTAATTTCTAAACTAAATCTTCTATAAATTGTTGGCAAGAGTATGTTTAGGTATTATTACAGAACTAAGTAACATTCTAAAGCATCTGCCTCTTATTGAATCAGATCACTGGTCTCCCTATCCCAGTATATTCCATTTGGATTGCTTATAGTTGTTTAAAGCAAAACGTGGGTTTGCTTACCAGGGATGTTGTCTACGACTTCTGTATCTAGCACCATCTGCATGCAAATGAGATCTTTCATTCTTACACAGGGCGGAATCAATTATCTTCAGTATTTCTGAAGTTTTTTTCTGTACAGTCTTGCCCAATTATTTTGGGGTATTATTCCTTCCTCATGTTTTTATATTCAATTTCCAACTCTATTTTTATTTATTATTATACATGTATGCTGCCCATCTTGCCTAGAGGTGACTAACTCTGATCATAACCAGTTGTGTTTCTGTGATTGGTTTACATTTTGAACTGAAATAACTTAGGAGAGGCTTATTTCCAAATTCTGAAGTTAATTCACACACATTTTCTTAACTATAATCCACTTATTTCTTTCTCTTTTCTGTTACTTTGGTTTTTCCTGCTAATTTCATATGGAAGCACCTCTTTTCCCACAAACTTCAGTTTCATCTTTCCTCTTTTGAGTTCAAACCTGAGTTCAGCTCACCTTCCAGGTAGGAGTGCTGTGTCTGAAGTAGCCAAAATTGTTGAACCAACGGTAAATTTCACTCAGGCTGAGTTGTTTCTTGGGAGATTCTAGGATGGCCTGCAAATCATAGCATCAGTATTTCATAGCATGGCTGTTTATTGAAAGGGATATTGGTTTGTTTGTGTACAAAGGAAAACCAGCAGCTTCTTTGCCCCAATATTATTTTTACCATACCCAAACAACATATTTAAAGAGAGTTTTGCAGTTCTGTAGAACATCTGAAGATGCTGCTTACAAAAATAGCTATTGGTAAAATATAGAGAATAAGTATTTGTGGATATGGGACACTGCTGTAGCTAGGAAGAGAAAATGTGTATGGCAAGAGCATGGGAAACAGCATCATTTGCATTCAGTACTCTAAGAAAGTAGGATTGGAAGAGAATGAGTTTGCAAAAGTATGCATCCTGTTTTAAAATAATCTCTTGCTATTTGTGTGAAGTTGGCATATTTTGCAGTAACTTACCCAACAAATCAGGGCAGCATATGTGAAGGGTGGGCGGGTTGTGGTATGCCAGTAATAGTCCATGCTGGGGGTTTTCACTGTGGTGACAAAAGTAATTAGTCAGGCAACCTTCTACTTTCTGGAGTCTTCCGGTCCTATTTCCTTCCTGCTTTCTTGAAGGCATTTGCTTTCTAAATATTAGAAACCTAATACTGCTTCTATACATGTAAAAGCTGACCAACAACTTGTAGCAGGTCTTCAAGTACAGCAAATAAAAATTCACTACTGTATCCATCCAGAAGTTGATTAGCACTCTATTGGCTCTAACCATCATGCTGAGCAGTCTCATAAAGCACAGAAACTTGTTTATCAATGGACTTAAGCTGTTAAGTGGCACTGCCTATATATTAAGCAAATAAATTGTTCTTATTTGTAAAAGTAAGTAAAAACCTAGAGCACAGATTGCATTCCAGTTTGCCAGAGTATTTCTGAAACTAGAATTCTGAAGCAGAACTTAGAAAGTAGGTCTAGCTGTTCTCACTCAAAATGGCTCAACTTCCACCCACATCATTCTGCTTTTTTTATGCTTGCTCTTCAGCTTTAAGCATCCCAGGTGGGTTTTTGCAATCGTTGTCCTGTTCTAGACAAATAGCAAACCTTGATCCTTCATCCGGATGCAAACTCTTGTAATCTTAACATTTGAAATTTAGAAATTGAGTCCTGCCTTCAGTCTCCCACAATGCACTTCTCACCTGAATTGCTGTAGAACCCGTGGTGATTGGAAACACAGATCCCATTCACAAGTTCACTCCTTGGCCCTTTGGTCTGCGGTGAGAAGATAAGCCCTGAATATGGAAGCTGTGAATGGGAGGTCAATGCTAGCTCTGCCCTCATAACAGCCAATTTCTGCTTTTCTTGTGCCAGCTGCGTCACAGAACAAAGATGGGAAAACTACAGTCAGTTTCTAGATGAACCATTCAACTTTATTGAAAATATGCAGGAAACATCATGCATATTCCCACTTATGTTATCTAACCCCATGTTAAAGGAAAATTCTTCATATAGTTAATGATGGAGCCCAGAGCTTGGGAATATAAGGATGTCTTTAAATTGTACTTCTGCCTTCATTTGTATTTGCAGTAACTCCAGTCTATTCTTTCCAACTTTTTAGGGATTGAACAATAAGTGTAAACACATTTAAACTATATTTGGCTATTTGGGGGGTTCCTGCTTTGAGGTTTTTCCCCATTTGGAAGTGCTACGTTTTTTAACTTAAGGGTTGCCCTGGAATTGTTCGTAATATCTCGTTATTATGTTTGGTTATGGAAGTGACATAACTTGGAGAATTCAATTTGATTTAGATCTTCTCAGGTACTTCAGTTTTATGGGCTTTATCTCCCAGAATCCCCCAACTAGCATAGCCATAACTAGGAATTGCAGAAGATGGTCTAGGCTAGGTGCAGTTAGACTAGTCAGAGAAATGTGATGTCCTTTTCTTTTAAGCTTGCACTCACCCGATCTTCTAATTTGCGCACCAACTCCTCTTGTATTTGCCACTGAGTATTATCTGCTCTGGATTCCCTGTATGTGACTCTGCAAACGACAATAGCCACAGGCCATTTTTGTCATATCGCCCAACTACCACTTTTTTCAAACCATATTGATCACTGACCTTCAGAGGGTTGCTTTTTCAAATATATGTTTTATTAATACGTTTTCTTTTTATATCACATACAAAATTCCATATCAATCTGAACAGCGTGTTATCTGGACATAATTAATTTTAAGTAGAAATACAATGTTAACATAAATCATAATAGTAAGCATAATAAACATATCAGTAATAGTCGCAAAACAATAACACAGTTTATCCATCTTACAAAATCCTCAATACAAAAGTTTTTATTAATTTTAATTTCTAATCTCTGATTCTATTAGACAGCCATTGATAAAACAAGTCCCATGTCAAGAAATATTCTGTTTCTTCCTTGTCTTTTATTTTAAGTGTTAATCCATCTCAGCATATTCTAATATTTTTTTTAAAATAACATTTTCATCTGTAGGGTTATCTTCATTTTTCCATTGCTGTGAGAACACAATTCTTGCTGCTGTTAGTACATGTAAAATTAAATAAGTTTTCTCTTTGTCATACTGATCTGGTAGTATACCCAACAAAAATATCTCTGGCTTCAAATCTATATGTTTTTTCATTTTAGTCCAATATTTTTTTGCTTTTGGGCATGTCCACCACATATGATAATATGAACCTGGTATCTGATTACACTTCCAACATTTAACTGATAATTTTTCATACATCTTTACTAATTTCACTGGTGGTAGATGCCACCTATAAAACATTTTATGTAAGTTCTCCTTATAGGCCATTGATATTGTTAATTTACAATTTCTATCCCACAGTTTCTGCCATTTCTCTAATTCTATTGAATAGTCAAAGTTTTTAGCCCATCTTATCATTGTTTCTTTCACTTGTTCTTTTTCCAATTTAATACTCAGTAGATAATTGTACATTTTTATTAGTTTTTCATCTGTCCCTAGTAATATTTGATCTAATTCTGTTAGTTCTTTATGAAAGCCCTGCATTCTTGCATCTTTCTCATATCTTGATTGTATTTGCACATATGACCACCATGCTAATCCCTTGATCGGTCAGTTCTTGCTTAGATTTAAGTTCCCCTTTTTCATTTAAATATTCTTATATCTTACATTTTTTTCCACATCAATCACATTAGGATGTATCAGTGGAAAGCCAGACTGGTATTTTCATATAATGTCTTACTTTTATTTTCCCCCATACTAACAATAATACATTTCTAACAAAATGTCTTTGAAAGTATCCATGCATTTTAGTTTTGCCATACCATAAAAAGTGTACCACCCCAATTGGAGATCATGCCCCTCCAAATTTTATAATCTTTTATGTCTCAAATTTACTCATTCTTTCACCCAAACAAGTGCAGAGGCCTGGTAATATAAGCTCCCAATCTGGCAACCCAAAGCCCCCTTTATATTTATTATCTTGTAGCAGTTTCAATCTTATTCTTTTTTTCCCTTGCCAAATATATTTTAATATCAATTTGTTTAGTTCTTCAAAAAAAATTTTTCTAGTTTTATCGGAATTGTTTGAAATAGGAATAATAATCTCGGCAGGATATTCATTTTTATTGTAGCTATTCTCCCTATCATCAATAGCTGCGGATTTTTCCATTTCTCCAAGTCTAATTTAATTTGTTGTAACAATTTTATATAATTATCTTCTTTGATGGTTGCACATCTTGCTGTAACTGAATTCCTATGTATTTAACTTTCTTCACTTTCTGAATACCTATCTCCTCCAACAGGTCTTTTTTTTCTGTAACATTTTTAGCTAGTGTTTTAGTTTTCTCTTTACTCATTTTCAATTGTTCACCATATTCTGCTATCATTTTTATTAGCTTGGGTCCAGTTTCCTGCGGCTCTTCTAAAATAAATACCAGGTCATCTGCAAATGCCCGTAATTTATATTTCTCTGTTTTTATTTCCATTCCTTTTATTTCTGGATCTTTTCTAATATATCTATTTAATGCTTCCAAAGTTAATATAAATAGTAAAGGGGACAGAGGGCATCCTTGCCTTGTGCCTTTCCTTATGTTAAAATCCTCTGTCATGGTCCCATTAACCATCACTTTTGCAGTTTGTTTAGAGTATACTGCCTTTATCATGTTATAAATTTCTCCCCAAAATCCATATACTTTATTGCCAATTTATGTTATCAGATGCTTTCTGTGCATCTAAAAATATCAATGCCATTTATTTTTTGGAATGTACTTCATAATACTCCCAACGTATTCAAGATAATTCTCATTTTTGATTTCCCTTTTTGGTAAAAATCCATTCTGGTCTGGGTGTATAAAATTATTCAGGAATCTTTTTAATCTTTCTGCAATTATTGAAGCATATATCTTATATCTTTTTTTGTTTTTGTCATTCTCTGGTGATGTTTCACTGTTGAGTCACCTGTGCACATTAGGCAAGATGGAGCACCGTAATAACTACTTTGTGCGGAATATAGATAGCTCGATTGTGTTCATCCAGGCACGTGAAACTGAAACTACTATCCTATGATTGCTTCTTATCAGTGCCAACTTCAAGAAATTGAGAATCCTGAAGAAGCAGTAAGGCAACATTTTGTTTTGCTTGGTGGATGTGAATGATTGCATTCAACTTAGAATCCTCCTTCCATCCACTGAATACAGAAACAGGAGTTGCCAGAGTCATCACCAGTCATAGGTTTTTCCCTTCAAAGTTTATATAAGTACAAGGCATTTCAAGAAGCTGAGAAATTCAGAAGCAAGACTGAAAGAGTTGGGCTCTCTTTTTTGTGGTGATCGTTAATCGGAACTGGGATTAGAGCTCTTTGTCTTAATCTGTAGTGAATTCATAAGATTGCAATTATGATTTAGAGGTGGAATCTAAACTAAAATAACATGATCTGAGGTTGGAAACAGAACCGTTCTTATGTCTTTCCCAATTAAATACATGTGTTGCAAATCTGTGTAGCTATTACAATAATAGACCAGAAATGCAGAGGTGTGAAATTCTAATAGAGGGATGGGTAAGATTTTCAGCATCTGCTAAGAACTGCTTTTGGTACTGTTCAGATTAGACTTCAAAAAGAAAATGCATTATAAAAATAGCCACTGTGCATTTAAAATTGATACTACAGGTAATCCTCAACATGACTACAATTGAGCCAATAATTTTTGATGCTAAGTGAGACAACTGTTAAGTTAATTTTGCTCTATATTATGACCTTTCTTGCCCTAGTTGTTAAGAGAATCACTACAGTTGTTAAGTTAGTAACATGATTATTAAGTGAACGTTGCTTGTCAGAAGGTCCCAAAAGATGATCACATGACCCTGGGACTCTGCAACCATCATAAACATGTCAATTGCCAAGCATCTGAATTTTGATAATGACTATAGAGATGCTGCAATGGTCGTTAACTCTGAAAAACTGTCATAAGTCTCTTTTCAGTGCCATTGTAACTTTGAACAACCTCTAAATGAACTGCTGCACATCGAGAACTACCTGTATAGTAATTAATATTGCTAGTTCCTAATGTTCTGTCCCTGACCCTCAAATTAGAGGTGAATACTTGGAAGTTCTGATAGTGGAGCTTTGGGTGGCGCATCATGGTAACAATGTTTGCTTGGATCAAAGAGGGACCTGTCTGAATGTGGCAGTTCAGGAATTGAGCTTATTTGGACCCAGAGCAGAGCGAAAAGCCACCCAAGCCAAGGAGAATGCCTCATTCATTGCACAATTCGAGTTATTATTTTGGTCAATCTGCAAACAGCCCATAATTTGCACCCTAAGGCCAACTTTTTCATTGAAAAGGCTGCCCTTGTCCATGAACTGAGAAGAAGGGCCACACCAGGCTGGCAGAATCTGATGGGAGAAGAGTGGAATTAGGGCAGAATCTAGTAAATATACCCAATATGTCTAGATAGTTTTCAGACATCAGTATCTCTTATCTCAGGTGGTCTCAACATAATTACATTTGTTTAACCATACTGGCTGGTTAGCATCCTAAAAATGTTTAGAATTCATCCCCAGCAACTTTTTTAAAAAAGCAATGCATGCCTTTGTTGTATTTGTGGTATGCGGTCCACATAGTGCCATGTTACTAATGAATGTAAGTAAGAAATGAGCATGCATGAAGCAGTAAACTCAGCTCTCCAAATCAGGTTATCTATACAGATTTTTTTTGTGTATAATTAGAGAACTTCCTTATGCAACAGCCTAGGCTCTAGCCTGCATGTGCAATATTTTCATTATTTTATTAAATTATAAAGTCCCAACTCTTCAAAAGCTTCGATGATATAAAATACCATTTAAAAATCTTAACCCGGGGGGGGGGGACATAAATTTTAAAAAAAAAACAAGCGCAAATAAGACACAATACACATTCTAATCCGAGGTCTGAGGAAAAACATGGTTTTCAGAAACATGGCCGGGGAAGGGCCAGACATAACTTGGGGGCAGGGGGGGGATTTTGTTCTAAGGGAACGTACCATGAGAAAGAAAGAGCATGCTTCCTAGGTCCAATTGGGTGGCCCACCTTAATGAACAGAATCTGGAGCATTCCAACTCTGCCCGATCTTACAGTCTAAACAGAAGCCCCTGAAGCCTGATGGTCCTTTAGATTTCCATTCAGACAAGAGTTGTGCAGATAATGTTTGGGTCACTTGCTCCATTCTAGCCTCTTTCAAATGTGTTGGATCATATCTCTCAGAATTCCCTCCCTGTGTTTTGGATGAGAAATCTGAAAGCTATAGTGAAACTGCAGATGTGGGTTTGGTGGTAGCAGGGCTAGTTGCCTTAACTAGCTAATTGTTAGTTGCACCAGTGCCCTGTCTGTACAGCATGCTACTGTACACTAAGTGATTGTATGATACGTGAATGAACAGAAAGAACTACATATGAACACCAGTGTAGAAGTTCCTATTAAGTAAGCTGAATGCAGAAATGGTCAAGCACCTTTTTTTCCCTGCCAGAGGACAAGATAAAATCACCACAGAGAGCTCACTTTCCCTATATAAAACAAGTAGACTGACAACTGAATATTGACCATTGACAATGAGCCTTTCAGTTTTGACTCCTGGCAACTGCCTGGACTAATCCCTGCAGCTTTCTTAGCAAGGTTTTTTTTGGAAGTGGTTTGCCACTGTCTGTGTCATAGAACTGAGAGACAGTGACTTTTCTGAGGTCTCTCAACTGGTTTTGTGCCTAAGACAGAACTGGAACTCATGGTCTCCCAGTTTCTAGCTTGATGCCTTAAGCACTACCCCAAACTGGTTTTTGCCCATAACATATGGAACAACTCAAATGATACATCCAGTCAGCTTGATTCCCCAGGAATCATCTCACCTTGTTGGCAGAGTTGGCCTATAATTCCATCTGTAGCATTCATCTTCTGCTATTCAAAGGATTAGCAAAACTTTCTGAACACTGAGAAGAATTGCAGCAGAGGAACAAATTGTAGTGGGAAATAGCAAAACCTCTGCTTTAATATTTGTAGACATATCTGGGAGGGATGTGTTTGGTGGAAGAAGTAGGCAGAGGTAGTGAAGATGGACTGGCTCACCTTTCCTGGTACTGGTGCAAGCAAGCGGTGGCATCTGAGCGAGGCTGCTTTCCTTGAGCATTTTCTCTGGTGGGTGATGTAGTAAGAGCAGCCTGATGACCCCAGTCTTTTTTCCCAAGGTTAATCCCTGAAACGAAACTGGTTAGAAAGAAGAGGAAGGCAGGGAAGCAGCTCCAGGCTACGTGTGCCCTGTTTTCCCAGCTTCTACTTACGAGATGCTAAGTCATGGTTTGAGCTTGCTGGCTGAAGATTTGGTGGCAAGACTGAGCCAGAAAGTGGAAGGAGTTGCAACTGCTGACTACTATCCACATGGGTGTTCTGAGGAGAGTAAAAAATGTGTGGAATAAAAACTGAATATTGGAACGGCAAGCCCCAAATCCTGAAGCGCTTCTATTTTCCGATGGCAAACCAGTGCCTACCCAACTGGCAGTCAGAGCCTCAATACATCTGGATTTGTAAAGGATGTCCAATGAGCATAAGGCAGAACTGTCCTGAACCTTTCTCCTTATATCCAGGACACATGCTCAGCACTCATTTTTAAACCATGCCCTTTACTGCTGAATCCAGACAGCTCTTATGATTCTCAACATTTCACAAGGCATATATCTGCCACTTGATGTCCCCAAAAGTATAGAATTGGTTCACATGTCACTCTAAAGGCTTTGAGCATATAGGTAACCCATTAGTTTTCACAGTTCAGTGAATTGTGCAGAAAATTTTGTGCTAATGAGCTAAAAGTGCAAAGATGTAGAAATACAAAGTTATATTTTGATCCTTTATTATCTGGTAAGCTAGCATTCTGCATATATTTATGTTCAGTGTGTTAACAACGGGTGCTTTTACATTCATATCTATGTTATTTATTAGAAAACAAATATTGCCAAGACAGGTAGTATTAAAAATATTTTTGATAAATTACATGCATACCCAGGATCAAGCTACTATCTCTGGAGAATCAGTATTCAAATCTAGATGTTTAGAGAGCCAGTTTGGTATAGTGATTAAAGCATCGGGCTAAAAATTGGGAGACTGTTCTGCCTTAGGCACAAAACCAGCTGGATGGTCTTAGTGGTGGGATTCAAATAATTTAACAACCGGTTCTCTGCCCAAATGACTGGCTGGGTAGCCATGGCTGGGAGGTCATGTGATTGGGTGGGTGTGGCTGGGTGGGCATGACACAGGACTTGTGTGATGCTAAAGCAGGACTTCCCTGAGACCCTCCTTCACTCTCATTATGCAGGGAATCCTCCACTTACAAATGTAATACGGTAGAGCCTGCCGATTACATTTGTAACCTGAGTATTCATTTGATTGGATCATGTTAAATGAACATGATCACTCCCTGCTTTCCCCAATGCATTTGTTAATTGAATGTGCAAGTCATTAAATGCACATGAGGTATCTCAGGCTGGGAAAGAGCATGTGGGGCCTAGTGCTGGAGCAGGCCATCCAATCCACTGATATACCTCATGCTCCCCTGAGGGTCCCCCCATCCCACCCCTCTGGGTCTCCACAGATGCTTTGCTAGCATCACAGATTCCACGTACTCCTCCCCACCCCATTTCCCATGGATTACTTACTTTTTGAAGATCTCCAGAGGTCCAGAAAAGGCTGACCCACTGGCAGAGAAGCCAAAGTGTTTTATTCAGCAGATGGCAAAGCTGTAAGAACGTGAAATCTAAGAAAAACATTTTCACCAGCTTCTGAATAAAAGACTTTTGCTTAGGACCAGCAGGCTTCCTGCTTTAGGACAACTTCAGGATTGAGTAGCAACAGTAGCCAATCAACGAGAAGCTCCCTTCCTTCATCTCATTGGGCTGAACTGCAAGCCCCTTGTTGCACACCCCAATCCCTGAAGCTGTTCATTCAAACTAAACAGTCAGTAGCAAGCAGGAGGCTGCTCCAAGCCGGCCAAACTAAATTTGCAGGCCCTCATGGCAGAGAAGCCGGTCTTTTATTCAGATGGGGAAAGCTGTTTTCCTTACATCTCACTTCTTACAGCTTCACCAGCTTCTGAATAAAAGACTTTGGCTTTTCTGCCATGTGGCTCAGCCTCTTCTGCAGCTCTTCGAAAAGTGAGTACAGTAAAGCCATCGGAAATGAGATGGGGAGGAATAAGTGGGCCCATGGAGGCTCCATTTTGGCCTGTAACAGGCTGGGGGAGGCCTCCAGAGGCCTGAATGGGGCAAGGCTTCAGCTGGTTCATCAAACTGACCAGTTAACAACCGATTCTAGTGAACCAGTCCGAAACAGCTGAATCCCACCACTAGATGGTCTCCCTCAGCTCTAAAGAAGCAGGCAAGGGTAAACCACTTCCACAAAAATCTTGTCTGAAAGCAAACAACAGAAATGGATGGATTTCTCAGGAAGCCTCATCAGTTAGATGACAGGCCCACCTTCACTGTCACATACAATGACTTACTGGTTGCTTATATGATGCAGCCCGTATCACCACAGATGGCCGATTCTGGTTAGTTATTCTCAGGCTAGGCTGAAATACTATCTTGGAATTTTGCGAACAGGGTGCCTTGGGACCAGGCATTGAGAATTGGTAATATCTGGAATAAAATTTAATCAAATTAACATATACTTCAACCACCTTTTTTCTATATGGTCAAGACCGAAGTTTTAAACGTGCCTGGAAAAAAAAAAAGCAATGTCAGTAAATGCTGTGGACTCTTCCTCTCTCTGTTCCTGACATAAAAATTTAAAAACACAATTGTATTCTAGCAGAGAAACAAGAGAAGGGCAAATGTATTTCCATTTTTCTAAAAATAATATACATATACTTTCAACATGTGTCACAACCTCTCAATTCCATTATTATTATTCCCAAGGAGGTCTTATGGTATTACCTGAAATATTTTGCAAAAACAGAGGGTAGTTCCATTATAGTCTACTATCTATGTACAATCTAGTATCTACATACAATCTAAAACTCTCCTCAAACTGGAAAGCAGTGTTTCCTATTGCCTTAAAAGGAATACTATACTGTACAACTTACTCATTTAAGATGCCCAGAGTCACTTGACAGTGAGAGGGTGGCACATAAAAATACAGTACAATATTACTTTTCCGGAAAGGGGGTGAGTCAAAGAAGCTGTGGCTCCTTTCTGCATAGCCTTCTGGGAGTTGTAGGCAGTTTCTCGTTTGCTGTATCTCCTCTTCTACAAAGGAAATGGCAGCTTAGCCTAATATAGGAGACTGTGAGGCATGCTAGAAGTTGTAGTTTTATCTTAGTGCATATGTGCGTTGTTAAGGAGTCTCGATCTTTCGAAAATAATTCATTTTAACTGTAGAATAATTACTTTCCCTATTTTAAACCAGCTGTGCAATATAAATTTCAGCCAAATTTGCAATTTCGTAGGCAACCATTCTACTTGCTTTCGCTATTATCAAACCTCGAAAACCCCAAAATAGTTGAAATCCTAATTTATTACAAGAATAAAAAAACCTTGACATAGAATTTGATGCTACCTCATTGAGGTTTCCAAATTAAGACTGATTTGAAAGTCTTGTTAAATTAGCCTTTTAAACTGCATCATAAACTATTGTTTTTCATTTTAAAAAATTATGATTCATTTTTTTGCCATCCAAAGTTCCTTCTGATAGATCCATACCCATATAATTTTGTTTAATAAATAAAACAAACTAGTTGTCTTATTTCTTTATACTTTGTCTACAACATAAAATACTCAAGAGACTCTTAAAACATACCATAGTCTTTACTGATGGCCAAATGTAACTATAAAGTCCGTCCTATATGAGTCTTGCTACTGTTGTTAATATGATTTTGAAATGTGCTACACTTCTTTTTTTTAAAGAATTCTGCAATCTGTATTTCATTACTAGGATTATAGATCTGTATAAAGAATATACTGTGCTGCAACAGAAAAACAGAGTTCCTAGTAAATAACATCAATAAATAGAAAGCTTGGCAAGTAAAATATCCATGTACACGTGTTTTTAAACATCCACATGTATTCATTGAGAAGCTTGCTCCACTTTGATTTTATAAATGAGTGTGCATATCTGCTTAGAACATACGTTTGTGCACATTTTCCACAACCTCGCCTATTTTCTACAGAAAAAATAATTTTTGTCAGTGATCCAAATATGCATTAACCACAGGGAATTGATGGTCAGTGGCATATGAATGTGTTTTGCCTTGTCAGGTGATAAAATAGAGCTAAAAAGGATCACAGTGCAACCTTCATTTTTAACATATAGTGAAATTCTTTTGAAATAATAAATATCAATCATTAAAATAAAATAAATAAAATAAAGATTTTTGGAAATACAAATTGTTCACAGGCATACATCCTGAATGTGTATCTGCAGCATTTCTGAATGAAATAGACTTTCTAAAAAAAAAATTGCACCTAAATACATACAGTTTCCAAAAATACATGAAATTTATTGGTAGGAAACAAATCCTTTTGAAAAATGAATGTTCTTGAAAAAGAAATTATCATGGGAAAAATAACTCTCCCTCAATAATCAGATCTGCCATAGTGGGTTTATATAAAAATAAATAGGGAAGGAGGAAAAATAACTTCAAAATAATAAAGAAGTATTCATGGATAAAATCTATTCATACATCACGAAGAGTCATCACTGACTTGATGCACATAATCAATCAAATGTAGAAGTATCAGGTCATACTAAATACATTATACTATGATCCTGTCCTATATGTAGTTCCATACGCCTCAAGCAGAAATGTAGGCTATAAATGTATATTCATCTTACAAGGTTTACCATTATTTTATGAATTATGACTTGTTTCTCAATCTCAAAACAATCACTGAAATTACAGAAAAGCCTTTGTTAGAAATCTCACTATAACTTAGGGAACTATAGTAGATCCTATAACTGATTCAGTAACAAATGCAATAATTAAAAATGTCTATTAAATTAATTTATTTCAAGAAGTGACTCTTTTGAATATTTGCTTGGCAGGTTACAATTTGGAATTTGTGTAGTCATGAGTGTCATACTTTCTAAGGACTATATGAAAAAAGTAGCATATTAGTTAGCAGTGGAAAGTATTGCACACCGGAAACTAAAGGGAGTCATCTAAATGTAAATCTATCCCCTCCTATAATCCCAAACTTTAATATAATATTTCTGTTCTTGGCCTATAACTTCATCCTAAGTAATACTCATTTGCCTCCCAAAATTTTAAAGTCATCTTGTTTCTTATCAGCATTCTTTGCAAACCCAGATCCTATGCTTATTTTGTAGAAATGAGAAGAAAATGCTTTCACACAATGGGTTGCAAATCACTGATCCACATTCCCCGAAAATGTATGTCACAAGCGGCTGGTACCATATATAAAAACTTTCCTATACGTCAACCACTTTCCATATCGAACCACTTCTATGGGGTTAAAAATTCCCCTCTTGGCAAATGGATGAGCCAGAAAAGCCTAACTTAAACCATGTGTTCTCAAGTTCACCAAACATGGAACAGGGTCTGCAGTTTCTACAGATTAGAATTATCTATAAACATTGTTAAATTTATTTACTAGATTGTGTATGCCTCTCAGTCAAAGGGATTCTAAGCTACTTACATTTCCCTCTTACAGTAAAAAGGCTAAAACACCAAAATAAACAACAATTCAGTTATAATTGCAATTACAGAAACATTGATACCTGAAAAACAAAACAAAAGCCTGTTATTTATAGGAGTTCCACTTCTTGACTTCTCTTTTTAAAAGACACATTTGAATGAGTGTCATAAAATTAATAGGCTGGAAGTTATCTGCTAAATGTTGAATGTTGCTACAAAAAGAGCCAAAGAGAAACCTGGACTTTGTGAGAATGATAATCCTTAAATGAATTTTCCCTTCTAATTTTCAACAAGTGGCAGCAGAAAGCCTTGGAAGGCTATGAAAATCCATTTTAACCATCTGTTTTCAAACTCTTTCATTCCAAAGGTGTAAAAATATCCCCATTAAAAAGATATATGCATGATGTCCATGTTGATTATTATATAATAGAATTAGACAACCCAAGCTGACATTAAATAATAAATTGAAATTCTGTGGGGAACAATTTTGTACATGAGATTTCAATAAAACAATATCTATCTATCTATCTATCTATCTATCTAATTTTGGGAAAGTTCTGTACATGGGAAATTGAACAACTCATTTTGCATTGTTATATCGTATGCAAAGCTGTTTACCTTATAAGTCCAAACATGATTCAGAAATTACAACTCACTGACCATTAAATTTATAGATTAAGCCCAGGGTTGGATTACTTTGCATAAATGCATGTATCCAAAACTTTACATAAAGTGTAAATATTACATAGTGATTTTAACAGCTTTGTTGGCATACAACCACAAAAAATAAAACAGAAGTACCAAGAACACAGAACAATTACTTTGATCCACCTATACCTCATCTGCAATTTTTCACATCCATAAAACAGGGAAGTACAGAATCTGAAACTCACTGGGAAAAAATAGAGTGGAAACATATTAAGCAGCAGAGCAAAGGAAAAGACAAAAGTTAAACTCCTGTCTCTCATCTACATTTCTCCTCAAAAATTATCCTAATTTTTATGTAATATGTGATACTGCTTTCAACCTCTCAGTTATAGTTGTAAAACTGTAAAATCTATTATCATGGCATTGATCTCCAAAAGTTTAGGGAATCCTGCAAATATTACTTAATTACAAAATAGATCCTGAACTGATTTAGTATATGAGTTCTGGAAACCCATTTGTGATCCATACGGTTACTAAATTATCTCATATAATTTAAATTAAGTCAAATTTATTTATTATATAAATTATAAATTATATATAAATTGTGACTGACATTGACATTATGCCCATCGCATAATTGCTCCACGTTCATGAAGTGGAAGTTTTCTTGTATCCACAACTGACGAACCAAAAGTCAAAACATGAGATTGGAAGATGTTTTTTATTTTCTTTCTTGCAAACCGTTTATATATTCTAGTTATACCTTTTCAGATTGCAATGGTTTAGAGATATAACGTCTTGGATAACTGGTCCTCCATCATATTCTGTGAAACTTTTAATATTTTTAATGCAAATGAATAAGACACTTTTACCATTTCAAAAACAAAAAATGTTTTCTACATGCATTATATTTAATTTTTTTCTATATTGGCACATATATTTGAACAAGAATATTGGCTTACCATTAGAAGTGGGTAACTGCTTTAAATAATACATAAACAGAAATGCATATTTAGATTTCATGGCAAGTAAAAATTCAGAATTTAAACATTCATAGAGAGTGAATTGTTTCAGTGATAATTTACAGATACACCTCAAAGTGCTACTTGCATATTTTGAGTTTTTCATCATGGAACTTTCTCTGGTATTTTCAGTGGAAGGACAAATACTGCATTATCTTTCTTTTATAGAAGAGATGCCTCCATATATGTTACTGTTGTGAAGACTATTTTATGAGAATCCACAAAAAGATATGCTTTCCATTTTTTTCAGTCATTTCACCACTGTCCAGCCAGAGTCTTTTATGAAACAAACAAGCCCAACATAAAAGTACAA